GTTCATTTGAACGAGCGAAAAATGTTTGCCCTCACTTGTCACTGCAGGTGCAAGAGCCGGCTGCATCAGTTGAAATTTCTTCTGCGTCGCGGGCGTAGACTCGAGTTCAGCGCGAACGGCGTCACGACGTTTCGCATTTGCATTGATTTCTTCCTTCGTTAGGAAACGCGTCCGCAGATGAAGCGACGGTCCACTCACGCTCGATGGCGGCACCGATTCAGACGAAGTGCTGGGTCCGGCGATATCAGAAGCACTCGGTGTCACACTGGATGGCATCGATTCGGAGCACGTGTCAAGCCCGGCGATCTTGGAAACACTCGGTGCATTTGCGGCTCCAGCCACACTCGATGTGTCGGATTCTCGACTGGCGACAGCCGACAACACAGTTCCGTCGCTGCAAGCGTCTACGCAGTCGGCACCCGCAGCAGAATAGCTGAATTTTGATGATCGTACAAGCCGCATAGCGCGCCTCCGCGCACCGGACTTCCGCACTGACTTCGGCTTCGTTGCCGGCATCGCCCGCAACAACAAAGACGAAAGGCACAGAACTAGTGCAAAAAGAAAAAAAAAACGAGAGAAAATGATCGAAAAGATAGCACAAGGCGAAGAGCGGCTCGTAAGCAGACGTCTGTCGAGGCGGACGGAGCAGAGAGCAACAACGAAGCGAGTGCGCTGGACGCGCCATCGAGAGGAGCGACCGCCCCCGCTGCTGCACAGCAGCCAATGGCGGGCACGCTTTCTCCCGCGAGATATGAATGCGCTGCTCTAGCCAATCAGCGCTCCGCATCGCATCGCGGGAAAACGCCAATAGCGTCTCAACTGTGCTGCCGACGCCATTTTGCAAGGCGGCGAACGAGAGAGAAAGAATTCACGGTCAAAACAACACCAAGATGGCGCGGGATGACCGCATGGTCCGGGAATGGCGCGCACGCGAAGTTTGGTTTGATTTCGGGATTTGCGCTTGTTTTGGACGCCGCGGCGGCCTCGAAAATAGTATTTTTTTTGCACTTTGCGGTTGAATTAGGTGCTGATAATTACAGAATAGGTAGTTTATGAGACATACAACCCAAAAATGTGGTTTTTCAAAAACCGACTTTTTCGCGATTTTTCGGTTTTCAAGGGCCGCGTCCCCCCTTAAAGAGCTCGTGTGTCGGAAAATACGGCATCGGTGTCGACATCGTTGGTTGTGAGCGAAAAATTATGATCATGTGTGTGACCGCAGAATTTACAAAGATGCAAAGAAAATAATGAAAATTTCAGGGTCCCAGTGACGATCAAACCCAGCCCGTTTGCGTGACAAGGAGATTTTATACCCCTTACAGCCACACGTCTGCTTGAGAATACAGTGAAAATAACTTCATCGGCTTGCAAATGCAGTGAAAACAATGTTCATGCTTTACAAACACACGCATCCTCTATTCAAACTTCACGATAAAACGTAATATTGCAGTAGTATTGTGCCGCCGCTCTCATACTGCCCCCTCCCCTCAGAAAAAAATCCCTGGTCACAGCAGAAAGTCAAGCGACACCTCGAGGTACCTTATGGGCTGCCAGACGTCGTAGTCGCTGACTCGCGCACGAGTACCCTATCCGCCGCCGCCCGAAGACGGAGGCACACCAGTCTTACTCAGGTTAGTGACTACGGTTGTCGGAGGCAACATAACGGGAAGCCGTTGCTCCTGGTGCAGATCCGGTCCCACCAAGCTAGCGGGCCCAAAGTAGTACAGTACTCAAAGTAGACCTCCTGGTGCTGACATTATTGCACGGTGCAGTGGCCATAGTAAGCATCTCGCTGTCTCTTTAGCCGTTGTAGCCGCCCAAACCTCTGACGTCTAGGTGGTGGCCACTCCTCCATGTAGTAGCTAGCGGGCCCAAAGTAGTACAGTACTCAAAGTAGACCTCCTGGTGCTGACATTATTGCACGGTGCCTTGGCCATAGTAAGCATCTCGCTGTCTCTTTAGCCGTTGTAGCCACCCAAACCTCTGACGTCTAGGTGGTGGCCACTCCTCCATGTAGTAGTCATTGAACGTTGGCCAGCTCAGCAACAGTGGAAGCATGACATCCCTGCAGAGCTCTGACTTCTAGTGCCTCTGGCGCTCACATTTCCACCCTCACTGATGTTGATGCCCGATTGCTTTTCATCGCCTTTCTCAACATAGCTTCGGACCTCGAGGACAGCCACTTTGCGCTCCAGGGTACACACACCTGTGCAATTACTAGCATTAGCCACAGGTTCCTTCTTGAACGTGTCCACCCTTTGTGTCGCTCTCTCCAAGGACTCCTGCAAGTCTTCTTTTTCTGCCCGCAGTTTGTCCACAATGGCGCTGAGGCTCCTCAGCTGCTTTATCAGTTCAGACCGCTCATACAGGATGTCCTCCACGGAAATGTCCAACCAGTCTGCCAAGGACTTTCTATTTTTTGCAACAGAAGTGGTGGCGTGATATTTTGACTCAAATGCTTCCTGAGCAGTTCTTTTATCGACTGTTCTTTCAGGAAGCTTCCCATCTAAACTGTCGAGCGACACAGCCATCACAAACTTTTCTGCCGTAGACAGACTGGTTGTCACAGCAACCACTTCCTCCTCCCTTGGTGGGTCCTTCTCGTGCCGTTGACGCAAGGAACGCAGCTGCTGCTCTGCCTTCGCCGATTGGTCATGCAGCCGCTTGACTCCTGTGGCACACTCTACCCATGCGGTGTCCACGACCTCTGTGTAGTGAGCCTCTGGTTTTCTTTTCATTTCCTGGATGGCAGAAGTCTCCTCGGCCATGTGCTGTTCCAGCTGCGCTCTTTCCATGGCCAGTTACGACACTTGCGTGCTCTTCCTTCATCTTCTCAATCTGCACTTTGTGTGCCTTCTTCAGGGCCTCCAGCGCCAGCCCGAACTGTGCCTTCTGCGAGTTAGCCACCAAGCTGTGCTCGGTCTCGAGGCTTCTGCGCAGCTTCCACAGCTCTTCCGCGTAGCCGGCCTTGACGTCCTGCAGCTCTTGTTGCAGGCTCTCTCTCAGCACCTCAATTTTGGCCCTGTACTCTGACTTCAGTGCCTCCAACTTTGCGGTGTGCCTGACCTACAGCCTCCTCTTGATGTTCTCCAACACCTTGGCGTACTCAAGCCTCTAGAAGCCCAGCGTATCGGCATACTGGTTCACTTCGCGTTTCAGCCGAAACAGCTCTTGGTCTTTCAACTTCACTTCTTCCTAGTACCGTTCCTGGCTCGCAAGCAGTTTTTTTACACGCCTCCTGTGCTCGGCCTCGGTCACCCGAAGCTTCTCCCGAAGATTCTGCAGCGTGGACTCGTACTCGGTGCGGACGACCTCTCCTATGTAATGCAGCCTTGCCTTCTCCTCGGAGAGCAGCTTCTCGTACTCAGCTTGCACGGACTCAGCTTCTCGTCACAGCGCCGCATTCTCTTCCACAAGTCGTCTAATTGCGGTGCTCGGGTCAAGTGCCGAGTTTGAGCTAGCGCTCCCGATGCTCTCTGCAATCTCATCCCTTTCCTTCTTTAGAGTCGAATGTGCTTTGGAGTAATTCAGTCTTTTTCTGCTTCTCCTAGAGTGATGAGGAGAGTTTCGAGAACTCCTCGGCGTGCCTGTCGATGAGCGCAACCATTTCAGTGAGAACCTTTGCATGATGTTCAACGGCATCCTTGTCTCTCTCAATGTCATATGCGTGGGCCGCCTCTGTACCAAACTACGGTTCATCTGTTGTTATAGTCGTGTCCCTGCTTCCTGTTGCTCTAGGTTTCTTCCTTTTATTCCTCGTCTTCTTCCTTTTCTTTGCGTATGCTACTTCGTCATCCCGGGACTTTGTGACCGCTTTTATGATTGCTGCCCTCACTCGCTCCGCAGGGCTGTGTTGCGTCGCTACAACGTCCCACCTCGTGTCAGCGTCCGCTCCAATGTCAGTGACCGCTCCAACGTCAGCGACACTCCATGAACCCTGTCGACACCAACGGGCCTCTACCTTGTCTTTATGGAGTTCACCTCCTTCCTCCGCAACAATGGGTACTGTCGATGTAGACGGCTTGGTAACTTGGTGAGCAAAGCGAGCAAGCTCCTCCAGAGAAGGAAAAAAGCAGCCTAAACAGGTGTCGCTATAAATGCGGGTAGCATTGCCGATTAAGATACGAGACCTTAACGGCCTCAGATGCAGTAGGGTACGCCGAACGGAAGCGCGTCTACATGGCCTGAACATAATCTCGCAGACCCTCCTGTAGGTGTTGGGTTCGACTGTCGAGCTCATGCCTGATAGAGGATTCATAAGAACTCTTCCCGGAATGCCATGACGAACTGGTTCCAAGACTAAAACGGTGGCTGAAGCCACCGCCATCGTTCTGCGGTACCACGCAGAACAACTTGGATGACCCGCCGAAGCATGTCGGACTCGGAAAAGCCGCTAACGGTCAAGTACACGAAAAGATTGTCAATGAAGTCGAGGACCGATTCCTTCACATCTTGACCAGAAAAAGTGGGCATATTAAGTGGCGTCGTCAGTGCCATGGTTGTGGACTGCCAGGTACCTCAATGTCCGGGGCCCACGGGCAGGGTTCTTCCCGTTGAGCGCCAAATGTACAGGATTGTACCAAATGTACAGGCTGCTCGGCCCAAAACCTCGCAGGGAAGACGCAGAGCCAGACCAGGGGCTGCCGCGTGCCACCCCGCACACACACGATCGTCCTCTTCTTTTCTCCTACGGTCAGCGCGCTCGCTGCTGCCGCTCCCATAACGTTTGTGTCCGACACTGAGGAGTCGTTTAATAAATTTGACAATGACGCAGAGAAACAACACTGGAAATAAATAAAAGATTTTATAAGAAACATAGATGGGCATTTTTTAAATTTTTAGCGGCTCTCCTGCCCCCATCTTTAATTTTCGTTTCGGACAGAGCAAGCACCCCCCCCCCCCCTCCCCAAATCTAGTCGCATTATCTTTTACCGTAGGGGGACAGTTGTTCAGCATTTCACAGTATGTTTGTGGGTGCCAGGTTCCTTCTTAAGACCTACCTGTAATAAACTTGTTGGTGGCTCCCTTGAATATCCGAGGAAAAGATGCCTCAAGCATGGCCACAAATTCTGGCAACTGTTCTGTCAGCCCAACAAGGAAATAGTGGTTCACGAGATTGTGCTTTGCCTGCTCCAAGGCCCATGGGTTTCCTGGAATCCTGGACATTCATGAGACAACACTCAGCTCGCCCACAACAGGGCACAAAAAATGAAAAGTGGTTGTCTAACAAGTGTAGCACCATGTGTTTTGAGTTCTGAAGAATGCCCTGAAATTGCCCATAAGGTAAGCATTTCTTTATACAGTTGAACCCTTTTATAAGAGACATGCACTGATGAGCCGTTCTTGTCCTTTATATTCCTTTCCAACTCAAATATTTTCTAAGGCAGAACAAAAATTTATAATGCTCTTTTTTGGCTAAGAGACCATTGAAAAGCATTTTAAAAAAATCACCGCGATATCCACAAAGTGAATGAAGTTAGAGGAGCTTGCTCGGAGGTGCACGGGGCATTTCTTGATGACACCATTTCTATAGGAAGGCTTGTTAGCGAGCCAGCGCGTGATGTGTATGTCGAAGGCAGCGTTGTCGGGCACGTTAACCACCTGTCCCTTTGTGCCCTATTGGCTGCTGCCATGAGTCAAATGCCTAACGCTCATAAATGGCAGACGTGGAGCTATCACGCGTTCTTCAATGGGGTTGAGAGCAGGCAGATGAGGAAGGCTTGGGAGGATATCGGTATCTATGCATAACACTCATTGTAGGAACTTGTTACGTGCTGCCGTGCCTACGAATCGGCGAGAACAAAGAGGATTCACTTGTGAGGAAGGGAGCACACGGGCCATCGAAAACCGATGCCTTGGGTAGCGGCACAGCACCTAGTGAGCATGTTGGAATCACCGGAGAGGAGACTGGAGCGGCGACCAAAGTGCACACTGGCAACACTAGTGTACATGCTGACGGCCACCAGACAGGGTGCTGGTATAATAAGCTGCCGAGCAAGCTCCTAAAAATTAAAACAAGATTTCATCAAGCTTTGACTGCTTCTGCCTTGCAAAAGAATAATTACTCCTAAGTAATTTCTCTTACTTTTGTATCTTCTTTGCAAAGCACAACTTTTCACATATGCTTAAAATGGTTCAAAAATACAAAAAGAAATAACCACAGTGCAAGCTAAGCAATTAAACTTATAGAAGGCAACATGTGAAACTTCTACATAGAATGAAGTACATGACAAGAAAGCAAAGCAGTTAATTACGACAATATATCTACAGTGGTCCCACAATGACATTACCGGACAATTATATAAAGTGGCCACACAAATAATTGCTAGGCACATACCAGCACCTTGCAGCATGCCCACAGAAAAATGGCACTTGAAGCCATAGCCGTTCTTCTGCACAGTCCGCCCCTTTCTTGGCAACGCATTCATCAAAAGTCTGCACAAACAGAGCAATTTTCAACTTGTTGCAACACAAAGGCCGATAATATATCATATTTGATACAAGAGACAAGCTATTTATTTATTTGTTTACTCGGTGAGTGAGTGAGTGAGCGAGCAAGCAAGCAAGTGAACAGCCGCTTCTACTTTTTTTTTTATTTGGAACATTACCCGCAGCGTCATCATAGGCATTATTGCGGGGTGCACAGTGCCTAATAGAATGAATCCGCAGTCTTGCAGCCAACTAAATCAAATCAGCTGAAAACACATTCTATTCCACAATGGCTTGTGGGAAAAAAAAATTCCTAAACACATCCGTTCTGGGGTTGTATGGCCATATTTTCAGAGAAAAGACAGGAATAACCAATATTCTAGATGATATTAAGAAAACAAAAGTTGACCTGGATGGCCCCCCGCAGGGTAAACAACTCGTTGATAGAGCAATGAATGGGTATGTAGAGATGGCAGAGCTAGGTCGTCGTATGGCCATATTTTAAATTTGTGGTCATGATGAGAGGAATGGTAATGCGCTGGTTTTAAATATTCTGAAGGATTAATGCCTGTTTTTCTTGTTATTGATTGAATAAGAAAGTTTCCATATTAAATTACGTCATCGATGTTGTAAGTGTTGCCAATTGAGTTCTCTTTTCATACATTGGGAGCTTTCATTTCGGTCATATTTTCCAAGAACAAATCTTGCTGCTATCCACTGAATGCGCTCTAGTGCATAAATGTGTACTTTGTGAAACTGGATTTCACACAGGACAGGCGTATTCAAGTATTGGTCCGACATAGGCGTAATATGCGGCCTGTTTAACCTCCTTGGTTACATGTTTAAGATTTCTTTGTAAAAAGCCTAGGGCTTTTCCAGCTCTGCTGAGAACACTGGCAATGTGTTCAGACCATCCCCCATTCTCAGAGAATGTGACACCCAAGTACTTGTATTCTTTCCTAATAACTTCATTGTTTAGCATGCACTGATTTGTAAACCTATTGGCCCTTTTGGTGAAACTGACGGAAACACATTTATTAGTATTTAGTACCATATAATTATTTTTACACCATACCTCCACGTGATTAAGGTCATCCTGAAGCTTTATTAAATTTACATAAATTACATGCGTGGTAGCTCCAGATGATGAATGAACTTGGCAGAAAGTAATAGACCTATTCAAGAGGATGAAATTGTGGGATATATGCTGTCTCTACTCTTCAATGGTCCCAAATCTTGCAAGGCCTTCCGACCGACCGGCCAAGTCAGAAATTTTGTTCACACTGTAGAAATTGTGCAGCGCTTATGGACTATTCTACCATAAAGAATGTTCAGTAGCATATTTACTCAGACAGGTTGGCAATGAATAGTAATGGACTTCTATATAATGGCTTTATGGAGAAAAAAAAAAAACGCCAGGTCACGGCAAAAGCTGGAACAACGGTCTTTCAGAGCCTGATTGATATGTGAAATTTAACGACCCAAAACAACCATATGACTATGAGAGACACCATAGTAGAGGGCTCCGGAAGTTTTGACCACCTGGGGTTTCAACGAGCACCCAAATCTGAGCACACGGACCTACAACATTTTTGCTTCCATCAAAAATGAAGCTACCGCAGCAGGGATTCGATCCTGCGACCTGCGGGTCAGCAGCTGAGTACCTTAGACACTAGACCATCACGACGGGGGTCTTTCAGAGCCTTTCAGACCTTTCAAGCACCCTTGCAGCGTACTTACTACACAATTAACCGCCATAACTTCTGTGTAGCAGGGAGGCAGTTACTACGCCATTCTTCGAGAAGGTACCCACTACACTGGAAGGAACTTTGTGCAATTTTTCGATACTGTGGCTGACAACAATGAAGAATTATGGCTGAAGCTTTTGTATTGGGTTGGAGCATCTGACAACCCACTCGTCATGCAATGCACACTGTGTGATGCCTGGTCATTCCTTTGCTGTTCTAAAATGCTTTATTACTCATATTACCCCGATTCCTTTCCTGATATCGAGCCTACCTAAGGCCAGTTTGCAACGGAGTTTAAAAGCACCAGCGTGGCTCTGTGATAGAATACTGCGCTGGCACGCAGGGGACCTGGGTACGATTCCCATTATCTTCTTGGTGTTTTTTATTTGCTCCTTTTTTATTTCCGGGACAGTGGTTATGGACACCGGCGGCGGACAACTACGGCACAAGCAACCTTTGCTGTGATGTCATAACAGCTATCACTGTAAAAATGATTTCAACATATATCAACCCTAATCTTCAGAAGATCTATCATAACACACCATGTAGAGTGAATTGTTGGAAGCATCTAACACACAATGTGGCCGCTCCACAACGTCTCTTGTGCTCAAATAAGCTCACCCCATTTTTTTTTTTTCCACCGTACCACAGGTGGCCACAGGAGCTCCATAGATATGACATGACAACCATATGAAGATGACAACCATATGAAGATGACACCCATTTATTCACCCCATGCTTGATTACTAAGTAAATTAATTACTATGGTTTTACATGCCGAAACCAGAATGTGAATTCGAGGTTTAGAGAAAAGGCAGGAATAACCAATATTCTAGATGATATTAGGAAAACAACAGTTGACCAGGATGGCCCCCCCCGCAGGGTAAACAACTCGTTGATAGAGCAATGAATGGGTATGTAGAGATGGCAGAGCTAGGCCGGCTGATAAAGTCAAGAAGTTTGCATGAATTAAATAAAACAAACGCTCACAGGATGGCATGAATTGGTGATAGTTGGGAGAGGACTTGGTCCTGTGGACAAAGAAAAAGCTGAGAATGATGATGACGCGTGTATTTACCAGTCGATTTTCAATTATTTGGCAAGGTTCCATTTTATAGGTCATAATATTGAGCTTTTTCCCAGAGAAATAGCTAGAACTTAAGGTCATAACTAAACTCAGAAAACCAGTTAATTGAAGGTGACAATATAACCAAACAACAACAAACATCTGTATTTTTTTTTATTTTTGGAAGATGTAACACATTTGCCTTTGTTTGATGAACACATTCACAACAGAGGCCAAAGTAGCTGATGTACAAGAGCGGATGAGGGTCCACGGATGCAACTTACCATCTTGTTGCCTTGTCTTCGGCGAACCAAGTAAGGCCTGAAGTCATCTCCATGCCTGAGAAAATAGAAATATGAGACGAGACGATCTAGAGGCCGTCTGATGAGATTGATGTAGACAGGCCTCTGGATGACGCCATACCTGCATAGAACAGCAGAAATTTGATAAAAACGCATGCTTATATCGAAGCATAAAATGACATTATGCAGCATGACATGCTTGAGGATATTAAAAGAGCCATACAGATTCAAATGTATAAAAACACAGCAAAAGCATGCTTGTTTTACAGCAAGATTTCCACCTAAAAATGTACTACGAAAAATACACCTTTACTCCACAGTTGCAATGAAAAGCTTTGCTATTATGGCACTAAATATGTAATCTAAGTTCTGTACATAAGAGTTTTTTAAGGTGTTTGGCTCTCATACACACTGTGTTGTGATGAATGTATGATGCTGACTAAGGTAAAGATATGATGAACTGCTTGGGTGCTATGTTTATTCTCATTATACAAACAACTTATTTGCTGTGATCTTGTGCTCACCAAAGAACATGTGGCTTACTGCACAGCCCGTAAATGCTCGTCCTTGCAACAATTATTCTTTAACTAGGCAAATGCCATGATAAATTCTACGGATAACCAACACTTTATCTAAAGATTCTTTTACACGAGTACTTCACAACCTATTCATGCTATTTGCAAGCCTCAACTATCGTAGTATCCGAAAGTCACAAAGACAGATATTTTTTCCTGCTCAATAGCCATTTTGTAACAACAGAGCAATTGAATGGCAGAAGAACTGAAGGAAGGCATCACACAAATACCCATTTCTGATCTGTGCAACAGCCAAGCCCATTATTGCTGCTGAAGTTGCATGTATTGCGTATGCTTTGATTGCGTCAAAAAAGTCTTGTATCTTCTGGCTGTTATGGAGAAAAAAGTTGTAGCTATACACAGGCACTTTCAGGGAACTTGGGCTAAGCCACAAGAAAATCCACATTCACTTTACAAAAAAGCAAATGACCTAGTCTTATTCACCGTCTTCTTGACCAACTTCGGATGCATCATTAAACTGAGCTTAGGTATTTAATTAGCAATAATTAATTAGCGAGCATTTAAAGCACTTTTTCAGGTACAGTGGTGGTGGTAGGGGCTTACGAGGAAGAAAAGGTGCATATTTCTATAGCCCTATTGGGAGAATGGCATTGTTTCGGGAAGAGGAAGAGTGAGAGAAAAGGGGGTGGTGGTGTCAGGAAAAATCTCGAGGCTTGGTCAGCATGGCAGCAACAAGTTGGCAGGCGGCATCAAGGGCAGGGTGTATCGGCAGACCCTTGTCCGTATCCTCGGACAGGAACTCCACCAGATTACACAAGTTCTTTGATTAAGTTGTAGTGTCTAATAATTAAAATATAAATAATTTCTTCCTATGATAATACCTACTGTGGTTTAACTTTTTTTGGCTGCGTACCACGCACTAGCATGCAGTGACATGAGCACCCTCGAACGTGCTCCCAACAAATGAGAGAGAAGGTCTCTATGAACCACAAACAACAATGATACCATAAAATTCCAAGCAAATGCCCCTCCAATGGAGCGGCTACTTTAAATGCTTCACACTGTTGCAAAAACGAGCACCCCTCCCCCCCCCCCCCCCCCCCATTTCGCACACCGACCACACAACAACAGCCTGCTCGAATCCAATCCAATGCTTGTCTAGACAGTGAAATTTCTAGGTACCTGTGCCAGAAATCTGTCATAGGAAAAAAAAAACACTTGTGCAGCGATTAGTAAAGTTATAAATCCTGCACTAATTTCAGTTCCACTGCTGTGAAACCTATGGAAGTGTGAAAGCCGGCACCCAGTGATTCCTGTTCATAGCAAAGTGCTCTGTTTACCGAATCGCCAATGATGTGAATGTATGAGGTAAGCATGTGTGATTTTCTGGCACGAGTAGAATCGTGTTGAGGTGATTCGCATGCTCAATGTGTGACATGCGTGCTACTTTTTGCTGCACTTAATCGACTTCCTGCTTGTTACAGCAGTTCAGATACATGTCATCTACAGCAAGTTCCGTCAGCTTGTTTTCCTCTCCAGATGTAATGAGAAAGCGCCAGAAGAGGAGTAATCACACACTTGGCAGGGTGGTGGTGCCCTCTTTTGTACAGCCCTGGTGTCAACCACATGTTTTTGAAGGGGTTTTCAACAACTTTAACCTAACTATTGTGCTTAATGTCATTATACACCTTGGCCGTTTATTTACACCTGGTTTTCAGCTCCGTTAGCATTGTTTAAGCTTGTATGAAACACTTGATTGCGAGCGAGGTCATGTCATATAAGCTCTACGGATGACGAGCCGAGCGCCTAAAGTGCTATGCACATAACATTTTTTTTTTTCACATTATGAGCGCCCCCCGAACTTAACACAAAACACCCATGACGACCTTCAGGGTCCCGCCAGCAGAAGTAAGGCATCCAAGATCTGTTTCAGTTCCTTAAAGCCATGAATTGGCTCATAAGACATGCTTGCATGCCATGCTTCTTACGGACTTATCGCAGTTTCTTTGCGTTTCTTGTGCTTGTGAGCCATTGTAATGCATCATGCTACAAACAAGAGCGTGAAGATGTCTGAGGAGTCTCTGTATATGTACACCCCCCCCCCCCCCCACCCTTTTTTTTTTTTTCTGAGAAGAAAACTTTTGCGTCGCCATTTTAAATTTTGGTGCCATTCCAAGAAAGCACCTTCACTTCACTTTGGCAGTAATTTCACATTGCTGAAGAGAGGAGCTATAGCTCACACTTTCACGGTAAGGGGTGGCCACATCCCTTGATCTTAAACACATCACTATCAGCTGAAAAAGGCTTTAACCTTGCCCTCTATGCTGTCTAATGGCAGCAAGAACGTCAACAAAGCTTTGAGAATAGAAATGCATTATTTATCAGATATCTCAAGGCTAAATTTGACTCACTCCTTCCATGAATAAAGTATCAAGAAAAAAATGGCAGGCAATATTATTGTATTCAGTACAGCTGCTCTCTATACATGTTCATGCCTTCAAACTGCAGGCTTAATACGTCACTCATTCAAAGCAAGTTTGAAAGCACTGACGTTGCTTTGGGCAAATGCCTGGTCATGTGGCACTTTGCCACATCTAGCACATTATCTTTGTAGCCTGAAATAATTAATACTACACAAGATATTATAACGTAAACAAATTATTTGGACATCAATTTTCTTAGCCTAAAGCTTCTCCACTGAACATTTCTGTTTATGTAGTACTGTAAAAGTTGGCTGGTTAATTTGTGTTATTTTACCTCGGCTTATTTTAAAAGAGACTCGTAGTTGGTAAAGAGACAGGAAACAAAAACTAAGTTGGTTGCATTCTCATAATGTACTAGTGCACATTTTTAAAGATCTGCCCCAGTTAGCAGAAAGAGCCAGTATAAACCTCTCAGGAAGTCATGTGCATTAGTGTTCATACTGATCTGTCCCAGCAATGGAGGCAGATGGACACCACCTAATTTGTGCAGACTTACAATCAAACGCTTCCAACTCCCTCTACAAGCTAACCTCTGGTAGAGTGTCACAATCACCTATGACCGCTGGACACATGACACAAGATTCCACAAAACACTGCTTCAGTTTATGGAAAGCACAGGCCTCACATCACACATATAACACACCAAAAATTATGTTTCATGGAGAAGCCTTTATCACAACTGAAAAAAAAAATTAAATAAACAAAGAGCACACATCAGTTGTTGCTGAAACAAAACTTCGAGCACCAACATCATGGTTTTTTCCTACAAGATGTTAATATAATGAATTTTTTAGATCTAGATTCTTTAAGCATCCATGAAAGAGCAACAACAAAAGAAAGAGAGAAACACCTTTCATTAATCTCTGAAAAAAGCATGCTATTGAAAGGTAATGTAAGTCAACAATGCATATTATTTCTTTTAATTTTTCAGGGGTCACTGGCTGTTCTAGGCAACAGAAAATGAGTTGATCTCTAGCACGTTTGCTCACTTTGCAAAGTTGAGGAATGCGATGTGCCCATGGTAAATAGCAGGTTTCATGTAATGCCACAGGGAAATATTGTAGACAAACCTAATCTGAAAAATAAAATGACCAAGAAACGGACGTAAGAACAAATAGTTATGATAGCCTCGATAACTATGTCAAAGTTGGCATTTTTTAGAGTCAATGTTTCTGTGAGGAATGCTGTAGACACCGTCCTTAATCGCACCATTTATATTTGCTCACACCTAAGACCCTGCATAGTTTAACCCCCCCCCCCCCTTTTTTTTTTTGCCAAGACTGAACACATAAAAATACAGCATATTCCAGTTACCTTTTTCCTGATGTTCTACGGCCACACTACCTAGTCAGTATTTCAGAAAACATCTAATTAACAAAACATGTTCCAGAAAGCACTGATGATGATGGACATTAGGTCGTACAGAAACATGACAGCAAAAAACCCAGATGTCATGCTATCTCTGTTTGCAAGATTTTAGCAGTAAAGAATGACTAAACTAACCTAGCAGTGCTCACTATGATTAAATCACTTTATCTCATGATATTAGATAATGTGCATGGACAGGTAGATATCATAAGCATCATTGGAGAATATCCCTTTTACTTTCTTTCAGTTTCAGAGTGGTGAATATTCTGCTACTTTAAAAAATTGAATCAAACAAGCAGCTATTTCAAACGAATTTTCAAATGATTTCTTAGTAATATACTCTAATATGTGGGTTATTCATAAGTAAAAAAAAACAAAAGAGACACTATTTTCTGAATTTTAATTACTGGACTAGGACTGCAACACCAGTTAGAACCAAATGAAATCAACAGACAATGAAGCCAATGAAAGTAAAGAAAACATTATAGCAAGTAGTCTTAATTATAGTGTAGTAATTATGGCATAAATGGAAAGCAATTAAGGTGGACAAAGAAGCAACTTTGCACTGGAAGTGGCTGAATCCACAAGTTTCAATTTTTCGAAGGTTGTCAACCCCTACCGGTGGCAAGGTTGCTTTTGAGAAAAAATGATCCTTTTATACACATAGAATTTAGAAGAGGTATGCAAACGTTTTTGTATTGACAGAGAAGTTTAATGGCATATAGGCAATTCACTCATAATGTGGCCGTGAAACCGCTGGCCTTTTACATGCAGTGCATTAACATAGGGGGCTGGCATCCCTGCGACGGTAATTGGCTAGCACAGGTAAAGCTCAATTGCACCATTCCCTCGACCCATTGCAAAAATGTGGCAAGTAACATGAAGCATTCCTCGAGGCATAACATTCCTCGAGCATAAATGCGTCTACACAGGTTCGCTTTGGTACACAAGTGCACTGGCTGAACTAATGCTTGATGAAGCGAAGCCACATTTTTGCCCATGCACTCAACATGTACACAAGCACGTACAGTAGTTGTTTCTAGCTTTCAACTAGAGTAATCTTGGCTCCTAAAACTGCAAGCATTTGCAAGGATGCTATTTAAAAATGAAAAGATGGATGTATCAAGCTGAACATGGATTGTTTTCCCAAAACAACCTTTTGCAGCCTGCTGTCAGGTGCCTCCAGACATCAGATGATAGTGCATTGCTATGCCTGATAGTGCATAGCAATGCGCTATCAGGCATGGCCTGGGTGAACTTTTCCATGGTTGAATTGTGCACGTTTGGTCACTGCATTGTACACACATTGCATGAAGTGCCTATGCATGAAGTGCCTTCTCTAGCCAAACAGATAAACTTCTGCTGGGGTTGTTTTTTTTTTTTTTAGCACTAGGGCAAAGTGCTTGCTTAGCTTGAAGCCTCAGAACATTTGACTATTATCACCGGCGTGCCGCTTGCACTAAAGCTGGCCTAAATGTTGCTAAAACTCTTATTGAAATTGAACATAACTTCAGTGAGAGCAATTTGTGCCCCTTCATAAGATGATGAAGAGAGCGATTCAACTGAGGCCAGCTATAAAGAGGACAATGCCGATAGAGGCAGATGCAGGTATTGAGATGCATAGGTGAACAACAGCACGTGAGTATGTACTATGACTGGAGAGCCTACATGGATTATTTCCCAGACTTAAACCTTTTACTTGCAAATACAGCCGCTGAAGCAGGGACAGAAAGAGCAGCGACATCTGCATACCACCAGAATGTGATCAAGTAACCAGTGGGCAATATGAGCAATTGCACTAGTAAGCGGGACCAGTCTGCGTGTTTGGAATGCAGGAAAAGGCTGAATGGGAAGCTTTATTTTATCCGCAAGGTCCCAAAGTTAGGCAGAGTACTGCACAGTTAGCAGTGCTTGTGAAACAAAATGGGGCAGGAAAGAAACTGCCAAAACTTGCAGATACAATCTACAACTGTACCATGGAGAGTGTCTTAAATAATTTCACAGGCTATCCAAATTTCCATGAAAGACTTGGGCATAAAAAGCAACAGCAAAACATTAGCATAGGCCGCATTGGGGATGCAATGCTAAAAAGGAGCTGATGGGCACCTATGTTGTCGTGGCTTTTTCTGCTTTACCACGTATTGAAAAACTCTTCTTTCTTTCTTCCTCCATTTCATTCTTGTTCTCCACGCTCTAAATTCTTCTCTCTTTTTTTTTCACTCTGTTTATTTCTATTTATTTATTACTCTCAATTTTTCTTCCCTCTCTATTGGTCGCTTGCTTGCTCCTTCTTTATATCTTTTTCTCTCTACTTCTCTCTTTGTATCCTTTTCTCTCTATTTCACTCTTTGTATATGTTCCCTTGGTTTTCTCTTTCTGCATTTCTTCCTATTTCCCTTCTCATTCTTGATATGTTATGCTTTCCTCTCCCCCTCATCTTTTTATCATATCTCCTCCAGCTCATGTCTCATTTCCACCCCCAAGTTACACTATAATATTCAAGGCTATGCTATGTTCTGCTAGCGGGCTTGGACAGCCAAAGGATTAGGACGCTGGCCATTGGATCAGCTGTATACAGGTTCGAATTTCTTTCATAAATTTTTTCGCCAAGAACTTCTCTCTTTCTATATATGTTTCTCTTTCTTTCTCTCCTTTTGTACTCCTTCTCTATCCCATCAGAGTTATTATGCGCCACATCAAAGATATTGGCGTATGTGTTCTAGGAGCAAGGGAGAGAAGCAGAAATTCGTCAGGTAGTCAAGAGGCCACCAACAACACTATGCTGAGCACACAGTTAGTTGTAGTTTCCATGTAACATACCAGGCTCACATATTCCCCAGATGTTATTAGACCTATTTGTAACAAGCCATGTAATTTCTACCCAATCCAAGATGCCACAATGAAACTGTTGAGCCCAATACCTTTCTTACCTGATCTGGGAGTGACATGACATGCATGTTCTTAGATGTGTTCAAGTGGAGCACATGAAACTTGTTGGTAGCACACAAATCATATGCAACACCCATGAAGCTGGTGCTTCCAGTCTTGGGAACACGGTTGTACAAAATGACAAGATTGTCCATTGTCTTCTCAGGTAACCCAAAGTCATCCAAAGGTGCATCAGTACGGCTCTCTTGCACAGGAGGGAAGTCATGCAGCCGTTCATTGAGATAAAATAGCTGTAGCCTACCAACTGTCTCCGCTGTTTGAGTAAAAATACAAATAAATACGAGGCAAGATGAGCAATATTATGCATATCGACTCAAAAAATAGACATTAAAAGCACAAGGGTAATTTTGGGAAAGCTTCACTATGAGGACAAACATGCATGTTGCAAGTGATAATTTCAGTTTTGCTTACAAGACATTGCATTGCTGACATAATATTGTGTAGAGCAAGTTTTGACTGCATTGATAGTATTGGTTCAAGAAACCGTTGAGAGATACGTGCAATCAATTTTCCTTGAACAAAAATTTAAGTTTCTTTTGCACGTGGAGGCAGTGTTCCTTGACGCTGAATAAATGGGGAGATTTCTCCTGCCTGTTCTCTATTTTGCCATTACTTTCCACAGGCTCGTCAACATCACTTCACTTGGGTTGCTGGTTTACTGTGACAACTAGATATCATGGCAGCACAATGTTTTGAATTTTCTATGTGCTTGGAATGAAACAGTGTATATTTAAGGGCTTATTTTCTTTGTTAGACACAATATTAATGAGAACTGACAGACAATGATGCCAAGGAATGTTTCTTTCAGCAAAACACTTAGGGATTCCCGAGATAGCCACCAGTGAAGATATGTGAGCCTGCGTATGACTTGCTTGTCAATCCTGTTGGAATGTGTTATCACGAATGCCAAAAAGCACTTCGCATAAGTGCGCATTCAGTGTGTTTATATTAATTCATGCTTTGCGCCGGCAAAGGTGTTGAAATCAGGCTGAAATTAAAGATACTCCTAAATCCACGCACATTTTTGTTCTTTTATTGTACACAGCGTTCGAAATCGATAGAAATAGTTCAAGCTATTGGTCGAAGCTTCCCGGTCGCACCAGCTGCGAGGAAATCGCACATGAATGAAGCAAAAGCAGCTCGATTCATTCGCGATGTATTAGGCACTGTCGACTAAGGTACTAGCATATACAGTAGCGTTTCCCCCTCTCGATTACAAGGAAAGGTGAGGTAGTTTGATAAGCAGAGTTCGTGCAGAAACGGCGGAAATGTCGCTTATCTCCATGGCCAGATACGCAGCGACTGATCGCGTTCGTTTTCACACAGTTCGTGAAAGCTCCACGAAAGATACTTCAGTGGGACGTTCACACGGCTAATAAACCAAGCACACAATCACCGTAATGTATCTAAAATTTCATTTGATGTAAAACAACTCACTCAGTTTTAAACGTGAAGACTCGAGCAGTGCAAGCTTGTTTTCAAACCTGAGGTAAACGGTCACAAAGCTGATGGCGATGCAAAAGCAAAGTATGACTTTCCATTGCATAATACGACCTATCATTGCCAGCTCAGGAGTGTGCCTCGCGAGCACGCGCTGTTTAAACTAAAGTTTTGGTTTCCCTGTTCGTCAGGTACCATGAAAAACATCGCGTTGCTGGAGCGAGAAGTTTTGGCCATCTTGACGTAGCCGCTGCTATGCTTATATTTAAAACGTATGTAAAAAAGGGTTACAAATCGTCTCTAGTTAACATTATTTGTATTAAAATAAAACAAAACACAAATTAAAACATTCGCCGTTTATAGTTTGTTAGCCTATCACTTTCTTTTTCCGCACAACACAGGAGGTTCAAAGCACGACCTACTCTACTCCTGACCTGCCCAAAAAACCCCTCTTCAGCGCCCACGTTCTAGTTTATAAATTTTACCGCTAGGGCCGTAACCTACAAGCCGTGTGGCGTTAGCCAGCGCCTGTTCCCTAACGTTACCTTCACTGTTTGTGGTCAAATTTCGACCTACAAAGCACTTATAGTGCATATTTATTATGCACAATTTAAAATTATTCAGAAATAATTATACTAAAAGTTATTCAATTTTTTTCTATTTTAGATCAAATGTGACTCGACAACATATAAGCTGTCCCAACACCATGTAAATCTACCGGTTCCCACGTTTGTCAACCAGTGTCCTATAAATACTTAAGCGCACTAAACAGCTTACTTGACCAGCAATATAAGTAAATAGTCACATATATGCTGGCAGTTCACCACAGAATGCAGGCATTCTTATTCCAGTGCTGTCAAAACCGTAAAGTAGCAGACAAACAGGTTATATGTAGCGCCACTAATGGTGAGCGGTTGAACGAGAGCTGGGACACGCGTTTTCATGGGAAACCTGCTATTTGAGTAGGTCAGGAGTACAGTAGGTCGTGATTCAAAATTATAGGTACGCTGGCTACAATAGGGAAGTGTGATGAGCGGCAAGCGGAGCCCTACGGAGCGCACTGAAGCCTCCGCGGAGGAGCCGCGTAGGGGCGCGCGCAATCGTCACAAGCTCACTGAGCAGGGCAATGTCTCCCAGCCTTAAAAGCAGTAGTTCGAAAAAAAATGTGAAAGAAAAAAAACTGGGGGCTTGCTTCAAGGGGTCAAAATGAAGGCCCGCGAACAGTTTTTGTAAAGAATGGCTGTCCTGCATACCATTGAGGACGCTACAGATAATGTTCATAGCAAGAAATCCATACACATTCATCCTGTGGTTTCAAGTATAGATGGAAACTTTCACCACAATCTTTTATATATTGCTTTTCTTTTACTCTCAGTACTTTTAATAGATATTGTAAGTTACCTTTTTCTCCAGTCCAAGCAATTATTTCTGCTAGTTTTATGCAGTAAGTCACTGGTTAGGCTACAACTCTGTATATCACAGTACTATTGTGACTAAAGTTTATTCATGTTGAACATAAGTGAGAAAGTTAATGATGGTTGGAAAGAGTGAATAAAGTTGAAAGCACAAGTTTAAGGAAAGAAACTCATAGTATTTTTAGTCATTCATTTAAACTTAATGGAACAAACCTGTGAAATATTTTTTCTTTAGCTGCCAGATTCTGGTACACTGTATGATGATTTGAGGGGTTTAACGTCCCAAAACCACCATATGATTACGAGAGACGCCGTAGTGGAGGGCTCCGGAAATTTAGACCACCTTCTGGTACACTGCAATTTAAAGCCAAACTTCTGCAAGCAGTATGTAAAAACGCTTACCTTTCCCAAAGGCGCGCACTTGGAAAAGCTTCTCCAAACAAGCAGCATGGCGCAGAGCTTTTGTTTTTAAGTGCATGTGCTAGCAACAAATGATCTTTATGCGCTTCAGCAGAAACAGAGAAAGGTTGTAATTTTCTGTTCCTGCATGCAGCACACCGAATATCTCGTGTTTAGGAGCAAGAGACACATGCGTCAACAATTTTTATTGACATTCTTAAATGTAGCTGGGACATCAACAGACATTGGGTGGGAAAGAAAATGCACAAAAACAAACAAAAAAGGTGGCAGGAAAATCACAGCAGCAAGGCAACTTCACCATTCACTCACATACACATTCAATTTACTACAGACAATCTGCGGGCACTTTTATTCTCTCTCACAACACAAAGACCTTTCATTTAATAATAATCCATGTTTCCATATTAGGCTAGCTTCACACCCTGCACACTGCTGACTCATGAGACATTAATACTTTAGACATCATTTAAACACATTTTTGCCACCATACTACCAAGGGCACACTTATTAACTAAAGAGACACTAAAAATATCCCACCATAAAGTCACAGCTGAAAAAAAAAACAATAACAAAGAAACATAGCAATGAAAACAGATACTAAGGGGAGGAGAGGCACACAGTTTTTTGCAGTGAATACATTTGTGTGGCTTTGCAAGAGTTGCACACACTCGGTCACTAACAAGTACACCTCAGTATTTACATAAATGTTACACAATACGTCGTTTGTTCAGGACACTTTGCTGCTGATGGCTGCACCAGCCATTACACATAAAAATATGCGGCTCAAACATTGCTGCAATTTACATTCACACATGATCACTCTCTCATGCCAATTAAAAACAGAAAACAACGAGTCACTGTAACTAAATAATAAGTGCACTCCTTACAACCTCTATGGCTTCTTAGGAGCACACAAGCGAGTAATTCAGTTAAAGAAATAAAAGCTCCATGCATGCAACACAGAATCTTGTAACAAAATAAGATAAGATGCGACTGGATTCTCACACAGAGTCAGCAAAGTTTATCTGCTAAGTCACTCACAGCAGAATTCTGCAGGGGCTGCAAAATTTTTCATCTGTCTCACTATTGCTGATTGTGATCAAGTCAAAAGAAACAAAGATATTAGTAAGCAACTAACAGTCTTGGATATGTTTTTTGTGACAGAAAAATACCAGCACTCTTGGGACCATTTGCAGAGAGTAGTAATACTCTCAATATTAAAAAAAATAACATCACAAGCACTTAAAAAGCTAGGTATGTTACTTCAATGAACAAAAAAAAGTCGAACAATAAATGGACAACAAATAATGACAAATACATTCTATGCATATCATGCAAATATAATTTGAGAAAACATTTTGACAAGATACTGCACTGTTCTAAAAAATAAATGAGAATGTTCATTTCTACAGTATTTAGTCACCATCTAATGGGCCACTTCATAAGATTTGCTCATATTTACATTTATGGTGAACAACGGTGTCACCAAGCAGTATGCTGATCAAGATGCTTTTCCATGTGCACACAATACAGAATGAAAGTCTGACCATAAAATATACAGACCACTTCCCAGAAGGTTAGTTAACCAGCTGCTAAGAGTTTGTGTGGCTTATTAATAGACCTGTCAGCTGATCGTTTAGAGGATACATCTTCTTGCCCTCTAGGCTTTAAAAAGGATAACCTAGTGGCAAGCTGTGAAAACTAAAGTGTAAAATACTTGTTCACAAAATGTTCGGTACATATATATCAGGAGCCTGCAGCACATTGATTAGGCAAAGCCCCTAACGTTAACGAGTTCACTGTATCAACCATGCTGGCATAGTCAAATTCAAGTAGGCATGAGTCCAATCAGAAATACTTCCCATGAAAATCTTAAGCAAGCAAAGTTCATTAGCTTACAAAGCGGCAGAAACAGAGTGGGAAAATAAGTTGACACCACAAGAACATCTGTGGCATCATTTTGCATACAGAAGCACACACACACACACTAAAAAAAAAGTTATTGCATGGCGGAACAATGAATGTACTTAGTTAACTTTGTGGCAAGTTCTATTAAGCAAGAGTGGGGCAAACGAGTTCATTTCGTTCAACATAGTAGCCAGCCACCCAGTACACTACAACAACCACGCACAACTGCCACTGCAGTTCTTGTGAAGTGTACTACCACCATCTTCGTATGGCACGCAGATATTTCAGCACAGGGAAAGTACTTTCTCATACAACTAATGCACACACCGACACTAGTGCACACACACTCCGGATGGACTGCAAGCCTTGAAGGTAGTTGGGCACAGTAGCAAAAAAGTCTAGTGCTTCGAAAGCGTGCGAAAAAATTAACTTTGAATTTGCCCATAATGCAGTCAATGTCAAAAATAGAAAGAGTTCTACGGAAGAGAGTTCAATAGAGGTGCAAATGTATTTTCTTTGCTTCTAGCACCTCAGTAAAGCATTTGAGTAACAAGTGTCAGTACATGGTTTCTAAAAACCTAGGCATATTGAGTGAAGCCAAGCGCGCTGTTTGTAAGCATGTGAACCTTGTGCACACACGGCCGAGCTGGTATTGCTCACAACGCAACTGGCTTTTGACTTTGGCAAAAAGCAGCAAAATCCAGTCTGAAGCGCTGCAGGCCACTTCAGCTAGGAGGAAATGCGGCCTTAACATTATTCGAGTATAAAAAGTGCTTCGGCAAAATGTAGTCGACATGCTCTTTTTCAATGCAACCTCTAAAACGTGATGAGGAATTTCTACATCTCTGAAGCCTTTGTCACTACAGGAAAATGCTATTAATAATAGTCTGCTAGAAGTGCACTTCCCAATTCTTCACCACATGCATTTACATGCCAAATAAGCCCTGCGGAGACACTGTCCGATTCACATTTGCCATTTGTGCTAGTGTTAACACAATGACAATTTTGATGAAAAATAAATGCTGCTGCCTCATTGTCACCGTGACATTAAAGCCATTAAAATTATATTGCCAAAGATACAGCTCAAGCTCGCTGTAAACAACAGAAAGAAAGTTTATCATTTTTCATTACTGCATAACAATGGCAGTGGCAGACGCATTAAAACAAGCATAGGCTAATGCCGTTTTCAAAATAAATAGAAATACTAACGGAAGCAAAGACCCAGTGTACCACTTGAGGTGTACACACCAGCTCTGGATAGGGTTCCTGAAATTTCCGGTGGCGCTCCTCCACGAAGCTTGTGTTGCTGCGATGCATCTACTTCAGCAAATCTGCTCGCACTGTCATCAGCGGCGACACAAGTGCACTGACTGCCTTGGAAGCCGACCACACAAAGCGAGAAGGAAGATTAAACAACACATCCCTTAACTATGTACACCTTTACCATAACCCAGAAGAGATGACCATGTCAAACTACATCATGCATTATAACTAGCAGTAGCAGTGATTGAGGGAAGCACACTATGTCACTCTTCTTGGCATCACTGAAACCAGTACATAGTAACATTTCCATCCCCCCATTCCCACTTAAGAAAAAAAAGAGAGCTTCAAAAGAAAGCAATATGCACGCCTTGGTTGTTGTTTTTGTTCATACGTGAGCTCAAATGCAGCCATGTAAACAGTTCACACAAAGCCTCACATTTCTCCCTTTCTGTCGGTAGTTGCATGCAAACACACACACAGTACATACACACAGATATGAACTAGTAGATATACAAACGCCCAATACAATTCTGTGCTACCAGCCGTCTCCCTACATGAGCATGTGACTAAAGAGAAGGGTCAGCTACAAGTGCAATTCTGCCACCCATCACTTCTTTTCTCTCTCCCTCTCTACCTGCACAGCGGTGGGCGATAAATTAAAGTGCTGGCATCCCTACATGGCCACTGACACCACAAAGGGAATACTGGGGGCGTTGAAGCTAGCTGTGGCTTCCACCATGTCTCCTCGTGGCAGCTACTGCCAGTGCCGCTCATCCCTGTCTGATCCATGTCTGACGAAAAGGAATGCACAAAAGAACCAACATAGGACCTGCAAAAGAAACACGCACAATTGTTTATGGCAGAAAAAAATTTGACAGGGCATGCCATGATGATGGAGGAATTCAGAAACATTTCCACCAATAAGAAATCATGACAAGAATTTTTCAAAATGGCAACTCCCACTAGTCCGGAGAGCAAGCTCCTTTTTAGCCTATGCCATTTCAGCTGTTGTGACCTCTCAGTTCTACCAGAAAGCACATTCCATTTCCAACTGTTAGAGCAATGATTGTAAAAGCTAAGTGATATTTAGCATGGTATCATGTATCATGGTAGCATACTACCGAGACATCACTGGAACAAAAAATATTACTGCAGAGGGGTTTTTTCAAAACTTTCACAAAGCACTGATAAAACTTACTGACTAGAACTAACAATTTTGACTAAAGGTCCTGGCTGGCACCAATACATTTCATGGACCCCAACTTTTCTGCATTTTTATTCTGCAATTAGCATAAATGCAGAATTAAAAATGAGAAATGTACAAGCCTGACCCCGATCAAGGCCTCAACAGTAGCAGCATTCGTCTTGGAAGTGGTTAACACAAAGTAAATGCGTCATACACACATCTCTCACCAAAAAATACCCCTTTTTCTGCCTGCCCAATGAAAATTTTAAGTAAAATCAACAGCTAAAAAATGAAGCTTGTGTATATGGTTAGAGCATTTGCACCATCTTGAAGGGGTACTGTCACCAAAACTTTGGTCTGCATTTTTTTGCTGCTATGTGTTTCTAGGGGCCTGTTCCCTCATTAATGACCAGTTTCAGTCCAGTTTTGGTTTGAGTGAGCTCCAAAAACGGCAAGCAGCCGGGCGCAACTATCGCCACCTAGCTTGTGCAGCTCTCGACCACGTCAGCACACAGAACTGTGACACACTACCGCACAGTCCGCATCATGAATTATTTTCAAATAGGAAATGGGACTGCACTGTCGCCAAACAAAACTTTCAAAGCATGCACCAGGGCCACGCACTCGTGACTAATTCCCGAGAAGTATAGACTGCGGGACCAAACGCCGCAAAGAAAAATGGCAGCAACAACGTCATAACTCGTTTTATTGACTGCAGTGTGGTCCCCAAAGAGTCCCCTTTGAGGGTGTCAATGGCACAATGGAGTTGAGGGCTCATGCAAACTTCAAAATTAATTTAAAATACCTTCCAAGCAATAATCGCTATTGATATTTTACAGATGATATAAAATGTTCACGGGAATCGAACCCGCAGGCTATCTCGGCCGTGAAAATTTTTGTCAGTACCCCTTTAACCTCTGAACTGCTTTGGACGAGCAGTGGTCCTGCCCAGACTGTCACCAAACTGCTTTGGACGAGTAGAAGTCGTCAGAACAGAATAGGTACTTCGCTCTTGCATTCAAGCGGAAAAGCGCGCATTTACGGATTATCGCGTGTCAGCCACTACATGAAAGCATTTGCTTGAGAATTTGGTTTTTTTTTGCACTAGGAGCGTGGTTTTTGTATAGAAAGATGGCGTGCAGTAGCGGCGACCCATGCATAGCTGGCTTGTGAACATGAAAAAGAAGCTATTCGTTTTTGTCATCTTCTTGGAGTGATGATGGTTCAAGTACAGATATTTATCTTGTGTCCAGAGGTGAAGGCAGGACAGTGAATGAGTAGCTCCTCCAATGATGAAGACAGCTCGGGCGGGAACATTGTGAGTGCCCGCCAGTGAAGCCGCCTTTTTCCACACAGCCCCGAAGCTTCACAAGTGAAATGCCCCAAGGCTGCTTAGCCTACACAAGTGAAGAAAGGTCTGGCGTCTGTAACTGTTTTGTTTATAAGTTAGGTTTCCAATTTTAGTAGCAGCAGGTAGCTGGTTTCCAATGTATTGTTCAGAAATAAACTTTATTCTGTTCATTTGACTAACTATGAGATGAAAATACTTTTGCAACATTGACTAGCTACTTTTTAGTACAATCAGAATCGAAATCAGCAATTAAAAGAATCGGCACTTTTTGACCAGAAATTAAAAAAGAGCAGTTATGGGCATATTTTTCAAAAATAAAAATAACATCGCTTGTACTGGAGATACAATGCTAAACAAACAGCGGAGCTGATGGGCACTTATACTCACGGGCAACATTTCTTGGCAATGAAAGGAAAATTAAAGAGTCTAACTGCATGTATCCTATTGCAAATGAATGAATAGGTTCCCAATTAGGTATGCGTTTTCTATGCAAGACATAAAAAATACTCATTTTTCATGTGACTCTTTGGAACAGAATGCAGTACACACCAGTGAGATAATTGCATTTGTTTTAGTACTTCACAACTTTGTCACTTCTTGTTTTTACACACGCCTTCATGGCGAAAAAATGTCCGCAAATATAGCTTGGCCATTGATATGTTGCTGAATTTAGCAACCTTTTTTTCCCCTTTGTTTCTTTTTCTCTCTTCTCTTTGTTTCCTATTTTTTTCTTTGTCTCTGTCTCTATTTCTACAGTGCAGTCCACTTATAACGATATCGAGAAAACCTAAAAATATGATCGTTATAACCGGTGATCGTTATATCTGGACTGCCGCCAAAAAATCGTCGCCGGACGTACCTTTTGTAGCTCCAGGCTTCATTTTGCTATTTTCACCAATTAATAAATATTGTAGATAGTAGGATGTCAAAAACAAGACTTTATTTCTTACTCCGAAGAACGCATCACGGGTTCGCTGAGGAAGAGAGACTGACCGACGGCGCGGTGGGAGCAGTGGGAGGAAGAAAGCACAGCCAGAGGTACACAGCCGGAATGCCAACGAGGCCCCGCCCCCATGCCGCCGCGCCGCTTTGCTTTTCGCTTTTTTTATTTTCTCTCTCTTTCCTGCCTTCGTTCGGCAAGCTACGAGTAGCTTGCCGGCTTGCCGTTGTAGAAGGCGGGGAGCCGCGGAGCGCGGCGCTTTGCTTTTCGCATTTTTTTTTTTTTAAATTCTCTCAGCCTCTCCGCGGTCGACGCGCGGCGAGGCGCAAAACGTGACACAGCTGGCGCCATCTGTAGCGCGTCGCGCCAACTCGCGATGCTCTCCTCGGCTTTTTGAACGGCCGGGACGCGCTGCCGGCGCTGTCCTGCAGTGGCGGCAGATACGTACTCGCCTACGCTAACTTTTCGTCTTGTCTCGGCATAGTTCGTTTCAGAAGAACTTATCAATCTAAATGTTACGATTATTCTGAATGAAACATGCCGTCCACGGCAAACTTTTCATCGTTGTATCCGATATGCGGTGGATAACATATCGTTATATATGGTTTTTTTCCCCATAGCCCCAATGCATAAAATGAGACTGTTAAGTCGACCCATCGTTATAACCGATATATCGTTATATGTGGTATCGTTATAAGTGGACTGCACTGTACCTCTTTGTGGGCTTTTTTTTTTCTCCGTATTTCTCACTTTCTCTTCCAATCCCTACTCTCGCTCCCGCTTTCTTTAATGAAGATATGTGTGTTTTAATGGCACAAGGGTCAGGTTTGGTCCTTACTTTCGTTTCTTCCACATGCTTTGATTCTACGTGCATTCTCTCTCTGTCTTTTGTTACATTTTTCTCTCTCTCTATGCTATGCATTACTATCAATTGATTGATTGATTTGTGGGGTTTAACGTCCCAAAACCACCATATGATTATGAGAGACGCCGTAGTGGAGGGCTCCGGAAATTTTGACCACCTGGGGTTCTTTAACGTGCGCCCAAATCTGAGCACACGGGCCTACAACATTTCCGCCTCCATCGGAAATGCAGCGGCCGCAGCCGGGAATCGAACCCGCAACCTGCGGGTCAGTACCATAGCCACTAGACCACCGCGGCGGGGCATGCATTACTATCAACCCTCCACCTTTCCCTCCTCCTAACACTCACATCTGCCCCACCCTTACTCTTCATTCTCACCCCCTTGCTATCCTATTACTATATAAGTATATATACTATACCTTGATAACATGCTTGGACAGTCGATTTCTTAAAATGGCTACCTTAAGATTGCGGGGTATATGGGTTCGAATCTCACTCCACGAAGAAATTTCTTCCTGTGAACTTCTTTCTCCATTTCTCTTTCTTTTTTTTATCTCTCTCTACCCATCTCGCCCATGAGAATTATTGCATCCTGCACCGAACAAATTGGTGCACGTGTTCTGAGAGCGAAGTGGAAGATGATGAAGAAAATAAAGAGAGAGCATGCCGGTTTATGGTAATGATCATTTCTAGCTCGTGGCTCACAAACTAAAGGATGCTTTAAAGAGCTTTGCTGTAAAAGAAAAAAACTGGTTCCATTGCAAGAGTACTGTAATAAAATATAAAGCAGTTTGTAGCATTGACAATTGCCTACTGTCAGGCCAGCCAAGCTATTGTCATCATGCATTACTACCATAACAGGATCACCACAAAAAATATTCTTTTATTTCTCAGGTAGCATCACCACTTTTGGTCTTTTATTGCAAAAAAATTCACTCAAAAGATTAGTTATTTGTACATGGCAAACGGGCAAGAACAAATCGATCCTCGCTTTTTTGGCATTTCACAGTCTTCTGCATGCTTTGAAGGACAAACTAATGAGGTAATTAGTCTAGCCATTGGCCACCATCCAGTTAAAAGTTGTTGTGGAGTAGTTTAATACATGGCAACTATAAAATGTACAATGAACGCATGCAGGGTGACATTACGTGGCGCATAGACGGCAATGAACAGCCATCTGTGAGTGATCATGGCGAGCTATAAAGCGTAAATAGTGTTCCATCCTGTTGAAGGCTGATGAAGGGCTAAACTGACTTTTTTTATTTGCTTTTTGCCAGAAAAAAGGCAAAGCTAGCTTCCTTTCTAAAAAAAAAAAAAAAAAACAGGTGCATGCAAGATTTGTACTTTGTTTAAAAGCTCTAATGCTATTTCTGCATTAGCTTTTTGTTTTAACCAATTAAAAGCAGGTGTGCATTTGATTCAGAGGCTAGAATTGTACAAATACTGCCATGTGAATCAGCATCAAGCTTCAACATTTCTTCTGCCCAATTTAGTCCAACCTGCTGAATAATTCAAAAGATACTCTCGCTAAACGATACATTAGGCTTGAAACCTCGAAGTTTCCATTTACACATGGGAAACATAATGCAACAACTATAGCAAAATGTCTAACATGCGGGAGTAAAGTTTCAGTCAAGGATATGTCAGCAGACTAATTGCTAATTAATACCTAATTAAATACTCTTGAATGAATAACATGTTCAGAAAATTTTTGTTGAGGTGAATTCATGTTTGTGCATTCAGGTTTTACCGCTTCCAAACGTACGATTCAGTAGTGCTTATTCAATCAGATCTTATTAATACAGTACCTCGTTACAACGGATCTGCTTAGAACAGACATTCAGACATACTACATACCAATTTGCAGCGCTATGTTGATCTCCCTATCTGTAACGTTGATCGAGATTCGTTTACAACGGATCCAGGTACAACGCACATTCAGATATAATTGGCCGAAATAAAAGGCCAGAAAAGTTGTCGGCACTCCTTTACAGTGGACTTTCCCCATTGCTTGGCATACTTCCAGGACAAGAGCAGCATGCCTGCAGTTAAGGTGGCTAGAATGGGGAGGTGCAATGACCAGCCTCCGAAGGCTGGCTCAAAAGCGTATTCCTACCACGCGATGGCGTTATCAGCGAGGGCGCTGCGTTTTTCTCGTGTCATCTGCTTGCCTCTAAACAGGCAGACGACACGAGAAACTGCGCTCAGTTTTAACACTGGAGCGTTTTCAACGCTGATGGGCTTATTTATTTAGTGTTGTATGCGTCAAAAAACTATGAAAAAGATGTCATGTGAAAAGCAGTTTAGAGGAACCGCTCTAGCAGACTGGCTGGTTGGAACAACACTGCGTGTATCGCTTGCAGATTAGTTATAGTGTTTAGATTGTTATAGTAATTGAAAGAGTGGAAGTAAATGCAGTTTTTCTGAAATGCAGTAGAAGCATGTATGAAAATAGAAGACTGGTGGTTTGATACAAGTTTATTGGAAACAGTACATTAAAACGTTACATAACACAGGGCTTCACCTTCTTGGCTTTATTCTGCGTAGCATGCTGGTTTAGCCCTCTAAGCAGAAAATGGACACCCGTAATGCTTTAGTCTGGCTCCTTCCATTAGGCGTGTCTTCCCTGGGCCATCAAACACGCCAATGTGTTTTAATAAAGAATTGTCCTCTCGTCCCCACTAAGGTGAAGCACGGTTCAGCGCGGCGCGGAAAGGGGTTCGACAAAAGCTACTGAAATGGGTTCCGGCCACATTACCAACCTTGACGAGAGAGGCATCACGGCAGATGAGCACCGGCCCCGCTAATTGCGCTGGGCGAGCGGCGATTCCCTTTTAATACTCCCGGCAGTGCGAACGTGTGTGGCCCAGCACCCAGTGGCATCATTATCCCAAGGAAGAGACAACCTGGTGCCGGAGGAGAAGTGTGGTTGCTACGGCCCTGTCAAAAATGTTGCCCAGGGCGGGTGTGGACGGCGGCGTTCAAAAGTGATGTGCGTAAGGTGGTTGGACAATGTAATGACGTCTTTCCCCCATCTAAAGAAGAGGGGAAAAGGGACTCTCTAAAATCGGCTTCCGTGGGCTCAGTGGGACTGAAAATCTTCCGTCTGTCCTCATGAGATGTTTGTTACGTAACAAATGCTTGCTCTGCAAATATTGTAAATAAACCTCAAGTTTTTTTCGATTTCTTCAAGCTGCCTCGACACAGTCTTTTCGAGTCTTCAGTGCCGGAATGGCTGGACGCAACAGGGCACGTGCCATGCTCAACAGGGCGCATGCCATGCTCTTTGCACCTCCTCTTGAGCAATTGCAGGTGGGTGAAGAATTCAACAAAGGAGCCAGTGCAGAGCACGCGCGCGGCACCAGCAAATCAAGGAGAAAGGTGCTGCACCCGTTGAACTGGTGCCGCCAGTGCAGCCAAATCGAAGAGACCTTATTTCAATGCAGGACTTGTAGCCGCCGTTGCAACCTGGCACAAAACACCACCTCTGCGTTGTTCCTTTTCCCCGTCGATGGCATTCTTCAGGACAGTTCGAAAATCGACAACATCCGCTGACACCATCTTCTTCAAGAAATGGGGAAGCGATAGAAAAACCGGTCGCACTTCCCAGAAAGCGACCGCTAACTTGCGCTGCTCCGTATGAGACACGAGAAACGTATGCTCACAGTGGGAACATGCCAATGGCACTCCTGACTGACGCGCCAAATTTTCCCCCAGTGGCGAGAACGCGCAATGGAGCCTCACTAGGCATTGAAAGTGCCGCCCCGGTAATCACACCTCCCTATTCTAGCCACCCTACTGCAGTGTTCAAACAGGTGGCGGCCATTTTGATACAGCCGTGCTTGGCTTGGATCAATCCAGCTAATGGGGCTTGCTACAACTAATGCTAATGCATCGTATGAATATCAATGTGTGATTTTTAATGATTACAGTGCCATCAAAGTAAAAAATAGTCTGCTTATCGACTCAAGGAAAAAAAAACATTAAAGCGATACTTCCTTAGCAAGTGCATATTTTTTCCAAAGTAAAAATAAAGTTAATAGAAAGTGCAAGCTTGATAGCAACCCCTCTCAGAATGGAAGTTACGTTCGGCATGACGCCAACAGCAGGTGCTTTGTTCGGCTGGGGCTGTTCTAACGTTTTGTTAGTCCTCGTGTATCGTGTGCATCTGTTCATTGTGGATGTGATCACTGTGTGATGAAGCCTATGGAGCTGAACACATCAGTCAAAACTGCGCATCCTAAGCCACTGCAAGCGACCAAGCGCAAGCAGATATCCCTGAAAGACAAGCTTGATATCGAGCGAGTTGAGAAGAAAAAAAAGCAGGACAACGTTGTTGTGCCGTACAGCTTGTCGAAGAAGACAGTCAACACCATTGTCAATGCCAAAAAGACGATCTTGTCGAAAAAAGTGTCAGGTGACTCCATATTTTGATGCTTCATATCCCGACGTCGAAGAGGCTCAGCTGATATGGCTTCGTGATGCCCGTTCGCGAAATATCCCCATGGACAGACTGTTGCTACGAAAACGCACAGAGCAACTTGCGTTTGTTCAAGTCAAGAACAGTTTCAATGCAATGAAGGTTGGCTCAACCGTTTTAAACTGAGGCATGGAATTGCCTTTAAGTGTCTATCCGGAGGGTCAGCCAGCGTCGACACTTTTGTTGCCAACTGGAAAGCGGATGTTCTTCCTGTTCACCTTGAAGGCTATGCATTGCGGGATCTGTTCAATGCCGATGAGAGCAGTTTTTTCATAAGTTAAAGCCAGGAAACACTTTTTGTTTTGCTGAAGACGCGTGCCATAGCAGCAAGAAGTCCAAGGAGCGCGTTAGCGCTTTCTTTTGCTGCAATATAGACAGGACCGAGAAAACCAAACTCTTGGTTATAGGCAAGTTGAAAAGACCACAATGCATGTGAAATATGAACGTTCCCATTGACTGGGATTCGAACAAAAGTGCCTGGATGATCAAGAATATTTTCAATTAATGGTTGCTCGACTTTAACACCAAGATGCACCAACAGAATGAGAATGTGTTACTTCTCCTCAACAATTGCTCGAGCCACATGCACCTTCCCCAGCTTCATGCTACAAAGGTCGCATACTTCCCACCTAGCACAACTTCAAAGACGCAGCTTATTGATCAAGGCATTGTGCACTCACTTAGGTCAAGGTATCGCTCACGCCTCGCTGACTTGGTCATAGATTTCAGATTTGCTGTGCAGGTACTTTCAACCATGTAGGCACAGATTCAGCCAGCAATAACAAAAAATTGCTTTAGAAAAGCTGGTTTTTTTCGTTGGTGACAGTGACTGCACAGATCCCTTGCCACTGGAAGGCCAACCAGATCCCAGTGTCTGGTCAGCTGTCGAGGAGGCCTTTGGGAGCCAGCAGTTTTCCAATTACGTAACTGCGGACGATGACCTTGTCAGCTCAGAGCAGCTGATAGATGAAGAAATTGTTGCCCGAATTTGCAGTGTACCAAATGCAGAGCAGCAGGATGAAGACGAAAATGAAGGTGGCACCTCAGAGACTGTAACCGAAAAAGTGTCAACTTCTCAGGACCTGGACTACATTCAAGGGCTGAGAAACTATTTCGAGCAACAGGCCACAGGTGTAGATGATGTGAAAACACTTTTGGCAATGGAAACGTATATAGTGTCTAAAGCTGTCTGCCACACAGTACAGGCAAAGCTGACTAGCTTTTTTCAAAAGATATAAGAATAAATCCGTTAGTCAACCATGTTGTATTTGACTTACAATTCTCTCTAGTTATTACAGACTTTTTATACATTTACATAAAAGTCTGCTGTAACAGTACATGCATTTAACATACTCCCTTTACAACAGACCAAAATCCTTTTCATTATGAATGTGTATTGTAGTGAGGTTATACTGTACTGCCAAAGACCAGTCCTGCTTGTTAATTAAAAACCCAGATCACTTTGAATTGCATGCCAAAATTGAGCTGTAATCTTCAAAGCCATGTATGAAGTACCACTTTTAGCACATGCTGTATATCTGGATGCTAGTGAATACCAAATGTAATATACTACCAAAGGGAGATCAGGCACAATGAAAAATGCAGATGGCCAGCTCATATATAGTGCAGTTGTTCATCACTACAACATTCATTACAATGGTTCATGCAATGTTACAAGCTGTTGCGGTCACTGTGGGAGGGTATACTTAAAGGGACATTCTGGAGAATAACGATTTTTCACGTATAAGTAAAGTACAAAAATTTCACAATCTTGAAAACTACACTCTTATCGCCCCATGACGCTTGGTAAGTGATAAAACACGCAAAAATGTGGGTGGAGACGCCACCCTGAGATCGCCGCACCAAACACCATAACGTAGTAAATTTTAAAGGCGTCTACTGGGTGTTACATAGCTTCTACTCAATAAAAATAAAGTACATTGTCATCTGTGGATGCCACAGGCCTAGGACACGAAGTTTTAGAAAATTTCATCCTGTGAATGTTAGAAACATACGAAATTTACATTTCAAAATTTGTTAGACCATGCACGGAAATTTCACAGTAAAATTCAAAAATGAAACTTCAACCTTGATTTTCTGTGCTAATAATGAACTTATCACAGTGAAACTTGTGGCATTAGATTTCTCAGAGTGCAATCTGAACCAAGTCATTGTTTCTCTTCAGTGTCCCTTTACCTACTGGCATACCAATGTTAACTGGAATGAAAAAAGTATCAACTGGTCTCTTCTTGCACACTGCTATGACTGATACTTTAGTTTTCCCATGCTTCTTTGTAAATAGGCATGAATAACAACTACCCCTAAAAATTAACCCATGCGGCAGCACATACTTCATGAGCCACATGCAAAATTGCCCGTTTGGCCTCAACAGATTATCATTCTCTTGTTTATCCTTAGTGCAAAAACACACACTAAACGTCACTTTAAAGTGAAAATGAAAAAAGAATCACAGGGCATCCTTCAAAGCTTCTTCGCCAGATGATTTCATGTGAATAGACTCAACTTTCGAGAACTTACCGTGCCCATATAAACTGGCAGAAAAGTAGGAGAGGAGGGCTAGCAGCTGTTGAACATAGTGCACTCGAGGTAGGAGGTGGGAACGAAGCCCTCCTCAAGGTTCTCCCGCCGCACTCGCGTCCATCCATCTCCTTGGTCAACCTCCACTACCAGGAACTCCTCCCCTTCCTCCATTGGGATGGAGCCCTCACTCTGGGCTATAAGCAGGCATGAAGAGGAGCCTTTCTTAACACAATGTCTAGTTTCAGGGCTACTAATTTAGGCTTTCGTTTTTTTTTTCACCAAACAACGATTACATGGAAATGAAGAACAGCTAGCATTTTGAGGTAAATCTTCATCTTCGCTTGCATGACAACTAATAATGCAGAATAATGCAGAATAAAATTCCATGTTGATGAAAGTACAGTCAAACATGACTATACCAAACAAAAATAGCCACAACACTCAATATATCAAACATCTGGCAGTGCAATACAAGTTGGCTTTTTCTCACAATAGGAACCTTCCTGCATGCAGTTCGAAGGGTGAGCTGTGTGGATCAGGAGGATGCAGCTCAAAACAAGTAAAAGCCAATGCGTGTCACCAGGCGCTTTCTCCCATGATTCTGTGTCGTTATGGCCACCACAATGGCTGCCATAAAACGGTAGAACCTAGCTGTTGCTCACAAAGCTGACAATTATCAACACAGTTAATGCAAACAGAAGTCCAATGTTGAAGCTGCATACAGCATCGTAACAAGCGCGCTACAATATTGAAAAACAATGCAAATTATAGGGCCAAGATAGACTAGAGGCTTGCCGCATCTGGCGAGTATGCATAGCTGCATTTGAAGGTGTTGAGCCACTGTTAACATTGATACTGTATTTTCTCCCCTGCGACCTGCACCTGCATATAAGCCGCACCCCAAAAAATAAACCACAGAAAATGAGAACTGCAAAACTTCCTCTGACATTGCCACAAGCTGCCTTCCTTACACAATTGTGAAGGTGTGCCATGAAACCAACCTGCGCACCAAAATTTGTGGTGAAAATATGGTAAAAATCTTAATGTTTACATTAAAATTATATGACATATTAAGATGATTCCATTTTTTAGCTAATTCGATTGATGCGGACTGGCCTGTACATCAAGAGACCTACTTACCATCGAAAGCATAAATGGCCACGGCCCGACCCAGAGCTGGCAAAAGCTCTGCCTCAAACGAGTCCACTTCATAGCCATTCTCTTCGAAGTCCCCATCATCGTCAGGGATACTTGTGTGACTCGTTCCAAGGCCACTTTCAGGACGGCAGGCTGTGCTGCTGGTCAAAACGTAAAAAAAGGGTAGGAAGTCAGCATGAAAAGATTCACTAATATCCAAAAATTTAATTGAGCTCTAAATGAGAGAAGGTTTAGTGAGAGAAAAATGTGGATAGATTGGTCTATGGCCTGCTGCTCCGTTCTTGTGTGATTAAAGAGAAAGGGTAGGCAAAAGAGAACATGAAGAATAAGAAAACGAAGTTTGAAAGCTCAATTTTGAAGAAACATGTGGTTTAGTATGCATGTGTGTATGCATGTGTGTTTCAGCAAACTCCCTTACAGTAGTATCATTGATAATTCGATTCCAGATCACTCTGTGGGTGCAGCAAAAGAATTGTGCACCTCTAACAATTTGTCCGTTTTAGCTCTCAAAGAGCAGCCCTCTCAGCTGCACTATGCCAGCTGCACAACAACCCTCTCACAGAAAGAAACAAAATTGCAGGGCACTGGCCTACACATGCTTTAACACGAGTCACTATGAGGGTGTCGCAGTGGTTTCATGGAGAAACCAAACTTGAGAAAAAATTGACGGTTCACTAGCAACATTAGTGCGTAGTACCCGGACACTGCTTTTGTCGTGACTTCATTGTTGTCATCATCAGACTCTCCTTTATCATTTTTTCACAACCCCTTTCCCTTCTTAAGCCAACAAGACACTTCCTATTGTTAACCTCCCTGCATTTCCTACAGCCCTCTCTTTCTCTCTCTATTCTAAGACAAGTTCCCCACAGCTTCTGTGCCTATGTATTACATACCCGAAGTTTACAGAGACACTTGCACAGAGACACAAGCAAAAATGAAGACTCAAACGCTTGAGCGGCCATGTTCGGTCTTCCCTATCAAGGATAGACTGAAGGAAAGACACCTGCATGCCACATTCGCCTGTAGTCCAGCCACAGCTTAACTTTGCTTTCACTTGCTAGGCTATGCGTTAAGTCACATGTAAAAAACTCCCCTGCATGATGCCAATAGTGTTTCAGCGCAGGAGTGCTATTTAACCTGTATTGAATTACACCAGGTCCTGCTTTGACTAGTGAGCAATACATCCTAGCCATACTTTTTATGCTGTTGCTGGACACCGCCTTGTGAGTTGGCTCATTATTCATGAGCTAGTATGCAACTTTCTTTCCTCTTTGTCCACAACATCACCTTCTAGTCCTTGGTTTCTCTATCTTCTAGCAAAAAGCACCTGCCTGAGGCTGGCTTCTTCCACTGTTCAAGTTTTCAAGTGAATTGAGCACTTACAGTGTGACACATCAAACATTACAAGCCTGAAAAACATAGTACTTCATATATTAACTTTAGTATAGTAGGATAACGCATTATGCTAGCGTACATAGAACATCGTCACAATTCTGTTTAACATAGCACCATATTGATTCTTCTTTACTTTTTTTTTAGAATTGCTCTAAAAAATTTGACCAAGTGATCTAAAAAGTTACCCATGACAGTCATCACTTAATATTATGCACACAAGGCTGACACAGTGTTACTTAGCATTATTTTACGTGTTATGTACTAGAACAAAAATAAAACAAGATAATGATAGATGATGGGATTCATCAACAGTGCTTGTCAAAATCCATAGTTTGACATAATACTGTCAGGCAAGGTGTTGACATTTCAGCTTACTTGTTATGAGCAGTGATGGGTGTTGGAGGTCCCTTGTTGTTGTTCTGGTGGTTGTTAGAGACGCTTGACTCAGAGGCACTGCGTGACAATGAGCCTTCCGAGAAGCTGTTACGGTAGCGCTTCTGTGTATCAGGAGTTGCCATCTGGCTATCCACCTCCGTCAGGTAGTTCTGCATGGAGCGCATGCATTAAATATACCACTGAAGGGCACCTACAAAAATAAGCCTTGTTTTACAAAATGGTGCATAAGTGTTGAAGGGACACTAAAGGCAACTATTACGTCCACGTTTATGGTTAAAATAGCGGCCCAGAAACCTCGTAGTGTTACTTTTGTGCAAAGGAAGTGCTCATTTTAACATAAAATGATATTTTAGTGGTCCGCACCGGATTAGCGCACTTCAGATTACCCGCCTCAAGCTGAACGTGCCACGTCACTGTTGCTGTGAACAACGTTGCCCGGCCTTACTGCACGGCGGCAGACACTAGTAGCAGCAGAATGAAAGTATTGGGAGCGACAGCAGCAACAATGGCCATTGAACAATTCTCTGCCATGGCTTGCGAGATATCAGACATGCTTGGTTCAACCGAACCCCACTAGATGGCATGACTTGTCCAGTTTAACCAGGCAAAAATTGAACTTTTGAACCCCTCGCACCATTCCTTATAATAACGACCGGCATTTCTTTTTTCCATGTATCAAGCACAAACAAACAAGCAGCATTTTATTACGTCTCTTGACGCACGGAAGGTTCTTAATTTAGTGCAGCTAGTTTGAATACTAGTGATTAATTTTAGGCGGTACATCTGCCGTAATCGGCATCATTTTGCAAATGTCCTACCGTAGCGCATGTTTTCGTGCATTTACCTTAATTTCTTGGTAAGTAGGGCACTGCTCTTGATAATATTGCCATTTTAAACATTGTCATACATTTGTCTTTCACTCTAACATAAATTGTTATTTAACTTTAGTGCCCCTTTAAAGGATGCAAGCTCCACTGCAAGCTCTTTGAGTTTATTATCACGATGCACTGTTATTTGGTTCTCATGGACAGTTACCTTGTAAAAATGCTTATCAATGAAACGACTTTTCATGCATGGCTCAATTTTCTGGTTCTGCACAACTACTTGTACTGCACCCTCACAAGTTAATTGTTTTAGCAAATAAATGTTTTCCCACAAAGTCGGCAGTACATAATACAGCTCGTAACGATGCTTGTATATGGTGTGTTATGGTGATAGGGCAAGTGATGATATATGGCACCAAGAGATGATACGAGGCTTGCAATCGGTTGTTCAGTGAAAATATGCAGGTTGTAGAAAATCCTAAGAATCATAGCAGTAAAGTGCACTCAACAAACAAATTTTAAAAGATTACATTGATGAAAGAGATGTACTACGAGAGTAAAGTATATGTTATCGCAGCCTCATCTAATAGGATGATCTGCTGCAAGTAGCACTGTCACCTTACTAAAGCACTTGAAGGCAGCAGCTTGGAGGCATGTGCTCTGCAAAAATGCTTCTACTGCAATGACATTATACTAGGAGGCCACGCTACGAGTCACTTGGTTGCGCAGGGTCACAGGGGATAGAATTTTTCAAATGCTTTTTCTCAAGGTTAAATTTTTATAGAGTTATCATGGCATAATAATGGTATAGTTTTTTGTAAACCGCCAATAACCTACCCCGCTGTGGTCACCACCACTAAATCTTCGACGTGGCTGAAGCCATCTTTTTCGAGAAATTCTTCAAGCACTGTCCGGCAAAACAATGTTCACCGCTGCCACTCCACCACTTTGCCAAAAGAATGTTGTTTGCATGGAGAAACTGCACGTGGAGTCCGACCTTAGCGCCATGCTAGTCCAAGCTATGTCACTCACAGTTACATTACTGCCCAATTTTTGATGTGGCAGATTTGGCCGTCATCAAAAACTCCTCGGAATATACCTGTGAATAACACGGTCCGCGGCTATGACATTTGGCCTGAAGTAGTTGCTCAAGTGTCTTGTGTGAAATGGAAGCGTCTTGTGTGAAAGAAGACTCTGTTCGAGTCTTCTTCACAATGCTGAACTGCCACCTGTATTAAGCATTGCTGTGCGGTATTGAAAGGATTCCCAGCATCACGTGAGCAATGTGGCTGAATTTCAGATGTCCATCTTCGCCTTTCAGCAGCGAGATTGTTCTCCACTACACATCGGCCTGTTCCTCTTCCAGTATATTTGTCAGAATTTTGAAAGACTGCATCTTCACAAATTCCATTTCCAGTGCATTAATAGCTTGATCTCCGGTCTCTTGCTCTTTCTGTGGCGATAATGCTGGAAACCCCTCAACAAAGAAAAGGACATTCTTAAATGACATCTTATCAATAGCTTCAATATCCGCAACGTGTGCATTGATCAAAGCCTCATTTCCAAAAGGAAATTCTATATAGCCTATATTTAGTATTCGTTGAAGCACGAGCAGACAACAAGCATGAAGAGCAAATTGCAACCGAAACGAGCATTGGGGGTATTACCATGTTGTGGAAATAGTAACGATCTTTTCTGGACGACAAGCAATTTTTTTTTTCAGAAATCTGTGATGTGATGGCGATGAATGGCTCTTCACGACAGCCATGGCGACAGCAAATCGTGTCGTCGTCGCTTAAAAATTACGGGCAGGCGGCTAGGCCTCAAAGTTTCATTTTTGCAGGAAGCGATCGTCGGTCGGCCTGGTCATTTTTGTGACCTTCACTCGCTCTGTGCTCATGAGCTGCAATGTCTCCACACTCGCACCGTTCAGGAACCCCACTGTGGTGCATAGCTAATTAAAAAAAAAGACTGGGGACGTGCGGCGCACAGATTGAAAGAAGAACAATATGGCACATGGGAGCGGACGAAGGAGAATGGAGGGAGCGAGACAGGGGGGGGGGGGGGGGGGGGGGCGGCATAATTATAAAAAATGGAAGAGATCCAACGGCCAAGGAGGCGCCATGTGTCGGTTAGCGGGACTCCAGTGGATGTATGTGGGGAGTGTGCTTGTTACGCGGGGGGGGGGGGGGGGGGGGGGGGGGGGGGGGGGGAGAGAATCCAAATTTTGACGACTGAAGTTGGGGGTGCGTTTATTATGCGAGTGCGTTTACTACGCAAGTAAATAATTGTGCCGTAGAATGATCCCAAATTGATGAAGCATACCATAGTTTAGATTTTAGAGGTGCCCATATAATACAAATTTCCGGGTAGAGATGTCATGACCAACTACTGACAAGCCAAATTAAGACAACTGCATTTCACTGTTTTGTCATGAAAAACTTGGCTCGTCTCGGCTGAGTTGTAGCCATACCCAATGAAACCGGTGGATAAAAGAAAAAAACTAGATGAAGGCCGTAGCATCATCTTGATGTGGCTGCAGTAAACAGGAGTAGCCTGTCTTGTTAAGCCTTACATGGTGCTTATAAAGAGTGCATCTTGACAATGGAGCTATTCTGTCACCAGTATGGGGCTGGCAAAGTGTCACTGCTGAAATTTTAAAGAATATAAGTATCAGTGGTGAAAATAATGAGCTCAACAGTGAAGGCGGACAACCAGATAGATGGAAAGCAGGCCGCAGTCCCTTCGATAAGCTCTCCAACATGGCCTTAGTACAGCTCCACTTGTGTGCATGCCGAATTCCAAAAACAACACTTGTACTAAAACCTCCAGCTACATTTGCATTCTGCACAAGCACAGTTTTGTGCAAGCAATGCTAACACTAATTCTATATCCTTGCCTTTACTGCTTTCTACTATATTGAAGCTCTCTAATATTAGTTGGTCTGTGATGGGGCAGCTTCTAAATTTGGTTTCTTTTTTCAAAAGGTTTAAGTGTTTGACATATGCTGCCATAGGTCCCAAGTTTTTCATGTAGCAAGAGCTTCAAATCTTAGGTAGAAACAGCCATAAAGGTCGCCAGGTTCTGTAGTTACAGCTGCAGCCATTTGGTGCATCTTGTCCTCGATGCCTCTGTGGTTAGGCCCTCTGCATGCTACAATGTGCTAATATAGAATAAAGCTCCATAAACACAGGCATGCTACAATGTGCTAATATAGAATAAAGCTCCATAAACACAGGCATCTTGTTTCAAAGAGACATTAACATAGTGACACTAAATAGGTATGCAAATATACTTTTGTAGTTTTGTTGATTCCTTCATATATGGTTCCCAACTGCCAGTAGTCCTTAGCCCTTTCAGAGTGCAGAATGCCCGATTCGGACAAGGACAACTTGACTGCTGCATAGGATATACTGCCAGTTGATTCAGATGTGTGTATAATACTACTTGTAGCAAAGGTAGGCTGATGACATGATGACACTGATATCCCAGCTTCACCCCATCCTGCCCCCGACACACACAAAAGTAACTTTACACTGCGAGACAGATAGGCTTCTATAAAAGGCTCACACCAAGAATAAAACCAAAAAGTACAGGCCAGACAAACAAACAAACAAACAAACAAACAGGATGTTTACATTTTAATTCTTCAGCAGGGTTAAACAAAGAATGGTCTCCCACCTGATACTTTTCCAAATCTGTTTGGAGCTTCTCAAGCTTGGCACCAATGTCATTTATCTCTCCCTGGATAGTCTGAGGGTCTCCCAGAGCTGCATTCTGCTCATATGAACCCTTCAGCTTGAAGAGGCCCTCTCTGACGCAAGGGGAAAAAAATCAAACATTACGGGCACAACATTGAAAACCTTGCTGAGAGACAACTTCCAAACAGGCACTTTTATTCAGTTCAATATTACAACAGCAGGTAGTCAACATACGGAACGACCTATACCCTTGGCCTATAAAGTTCCCATTTCGTGCGTTTAGGAACTAGAGGTCTTACCGTGCTTGTGTCATGGTGTTGATCTGCGTTCGTGTCTTGTCCAGTTCTTGCAGCAGCTTTTTCCTCCGCTGATTTGGAGGCAGATTGCTGTAGTCATCCTTGAATTCATCAATGTTGTTCTGATTTATTAGTAAGAAAGAAAACCAAGGGAAAGAAAGGCAATATTTAGACAAATGTTCAATGTCAAGTCAGGCTTATGACACATAAAATGGCACATTCCATGCAAAAAAAAAAAACCTTCCCATCACCAAACAAAAGTAAGCAATCCACTGAATCCAATTGCAGAAACCAGGAACGTGCAATATATGAAAGAAACAAAAATTCAGAATCCCGTAGCATGATTTTTATATTCTTTTACTTCAATACTGCAAGACTTATTCACTGCTTAACTAAACACAACTTACATGAAAAATGGTAGGAATTGAAAAAAAATTGTTACAGAGTAAGTATTCACACTCACACACGAGAAATTAACACGTTAGTATTCATTACAGTCATGACATTCATGAGGTATCACTTGCTACACCGGTGCAGGCATGTTAATTGAAAAACCTGAAGCCATTCTCAGCTTGGAGTAAGCAGTGATGAGCAACAAATATATGAGTAAGCTGCGTGCTTAAGATCAATAAAGTGTTGCATGCAGTCGGTTGTGTATTAAAGAATCCAAACGCATGCCGAGTAAACAATTCGCCAGGGCAAATCTGCTCATTCTTTAGTATATAGCACATTTTAAGGGGAGATGCGACCCAGAAAAAAAAAGTTTCTTTAATCTGCAGCATAGGGCAATAAAATCTTTGCTGTTTACATAACTTTTTAGGCTGATTTCAAATATATAATCCAATTTATAGTAAGTTCCATAATTCTCATTTTGTACCACGACAATCGTGTAATATATAGCTCTTTTTGGACACACTTATTATGCCACTGAACTTTTATGGTTATGATCAATTATGGCTTATAATGTATCGCATAACTGTAGAATGCAAAAAACTATAAAAAAGAGTGCATAAGCATTTAAACGAACAGATAAAACTGTAATGGGAGAAAATTTTAAATGCTCAGCCCATACTAATTGCTTACATTAAGTTCATATTAATTATATGAGCAATATCATGTTCGAACAAAATAATTCTACTCTTCAGATGTTAAGGATTATTTGGGGAAAATTTCACCTCAATCCAACCATCAGAAGTACCAAAAACGTGATGTCCAAACTCAAAAAGTTACTCAAAATCCCATCTTGAGAAAAAAACACTTTAAACCTAGAAATGAGAGCTGATCCATGGGGCAATGATATGCTTTTTAAAATGAAAGCTTGGCAAACATGGTTATATTTAGCATGTGGCTTTGGTGAACTCCTCATGTGATATGCAATGAAAAGCAGCCAGGTGGCAAATTCTAGGGGACATTAGACCATGAGCACTCTTTAGTTTTTAATAGCCACATTGGGCTCTTTAAGGGCAATTTTAACCTACTTCGAGTTTAACTACAACCTCAATTTTTTTTTTACTCATGAAAGTAGAAAAGCTGATTTCACGAGAGAAAGTAAAAAAAATGGCATTTTGGAAAAAATTTTTCGTGTAGCATCTCCTATTAAAGTGGATCGTAATTCAGCAATATATGAAAATGGCTATGCTGCAGTACATAGAAAAACTAATTCAAGCTAATACTCTTGTCAGATGTAGCTTGATTTCACATATTACGAATAATATTTTATTCACAAAGCTTACATTTTCATTAAGCATCTAGATTTAAAAATAAGTGGCTAAAAGTGTTCCCAAGGTTGTTCAGGGACTCAGCCTGTAAACAGCAACTGTATATGTGCCATCTCTGGTGAAAATATAGGCAGCTGAAATAGCAAGAATGACCCCAAAATAATACGGTAGTGCCGATTCTTTGAAGCCCATTTACAAGAAGTTGCACCATTTGTGGAACTCTAGCTTGAAAATTCTTCTAATAAGTATTATTGCTGCAGTAATACAAGTGCCACTTGCACCACCTGATAAACATGAACTACCCTTTATAAAAATAAAATTGGTAAATGCCCCTTCGAATTGTAAAAAAAAAAGCTAGAGTTTGTATCCATGGCAGTCGTTTGAATGTACCTATCAACAGAAAAAAACAATTATAACCAGAAGAACAAAAACAACAAGCAGAGATTCAGACCTTCTTCTTGATTGTGACATCCCACGCAAGCATGCCATAAAGAGAGTAGAGGTCACACAGTTAGACTGCAGTGACATACCTCTTAAGGAAATACAGTGCACATGACATGTAAGAGAGATGCGTGAAAGAACCAGTAAGGAATTAGGAAGGGGGAGTAGGCAGCAGGCAATGCGAGGCACAGTGCCAGTGTTAGCCGGAAGCAGTACTTGCCAGGCAGTGACCAGTTCCCAGTTTGTTGAGATACTTACATTTCGAAAGCAGAAGAGAAAGGAGGGGAGGAAGAACCACCACCAACCAGTTTTGTGTTTTTGTTTGTACGCACACAAAGATGCCGCAGAAGCAAAATGGAGGAGCAGGAAGAGTCGGGTGGGCGTTGGCAAATTAGAAGGTGCCATTGATAGAGAAAGAAAGAACAGGGAATGGGCAGGGGGGAAAAAACAACACATAAGCGTTTAGTCAATTGTGCTCAAGTGTGGTCTCTTGGCTGCAATTTGTCTGTCAAGCACAACTTTCAACACAACTCAAATTGCTCCACCCAACAAAGGCAAATTATGCGGAGCAGAGGCTAAATAAACTTCTTGCATAGAAAACGGAATTTGTTCAGTCAAGCAACTAAACACACAGACTTTAGCCACTTGTATTATTATTATTTCAGTCAAAGGACACTTCAACCTAGCTTGAAATATGCAGATGACCTTCCGCATGACTACGAAACAGCACAAAAAGCACTAACACAACATACAATTGTGGAAATAAATAGATGACATATGGCTCGTATCATCTGCTTCTTTCTGCCCCTGTTTTCTAATACTTTAACACCTTACCAGCTTGCCCTGACGACAATCCTTCCGTGCGTTCACTTAAACCTCATTATAACGAAGTTGAAGGGGAGCCACAATTATTTCGTTATATCCATTATTTCTTTATATTGATTATAACAGTTTGTGGCAATGTATGTTCAGATGGGCGCACACCTATAAGCATGCAAAGAAGGAAACCGCCTTGCGGCCCGATTTGCATGCTTATAGGTGTGCGCTCATCTGAACGCGTGCAATAGAAAATAAACAAAGTCGAACCTCATCAATTCTAACACACTTAGTTCGAACTTCCGGTTAATTTGAACTCACGCTGAGGTCCCGTCAAAGCTATGTGTATTCCAATGGACGAAAACGCCCTGTAATTTGAACGCGCAAGCACTTGCAACAATTAATTCGAACATGCCATGCTCTGAAAGTGCTCTTAGTACCATGCCCAATCCCGCGGCGGCACCTCTCAACGCTGCGTGCGAAGGAAAAGAAAAAAAAGGAACGAAAAAACTGTGGCGGACTGTTTGCTCTCTCTCAAATGCCGATCTGCGACATGCCTGTGCCACGCTTCTCCCTTTTCTGTCTCTGCAGGTAGAGACCCTTCTCCTTTCCATGGCCAGGCTAGACTGCACCTGCACGCGCTTTTTTTGCAGCCTTCTCACTAGTCACGAATACAATGCGAGAGTTTCCGAGTATGTTTCGCCACTCGCCGGCGGTAGGAGCGCAGCGACCCTGACATTGCATTTTCTGCACCGCGCAAATGGCACAGGGGAGTTTGTCGATGTGAAACCGTGGAATAAGGGTTTTCGACAAAGAGGGAGAGGGGGATTATTGAGAAATCAAGGATAGAGGGAGGATCGTCTACTAAAAGAAAACTAATTTACCAGACGGCTTACGGCTTAATGTAGGTATGTATGTGCGCATGGATAATACAAGCTGAAACTCAGTGAAAATGCGGAAGAATTGGCTAATGAGAGGCATAATTCAGAAGGCATAAAGCACTGACAACGATCAGAGAGGTAGGAAAAGAATGCTGCACCTGCTTTGCAATCAGAGAGCACTAAATACCCTTGACCCTTGGTTTCGTCGGACAACGACATTGCAACTAAGAGAGGTCGCTCGCGGAGTGACGAGTGCGTCTTCCCTTTCCCAGCTATTTTCTATTTTTCTTCATTTTGCTAAATACATTTGGAGTTTTTTCAGGGCTAATAGCTGCTTTCTGCAGCCTGACAACTCTTTTAAACATGTACGTGTGTTGTATATCTGATGGCTAAAAAACTGCGTATAAGGATAAAGTAAAAAAAGGGGGGGGGAGTGGCCTTGCTGCTGAATAACGTGTTCGGACGGCACGCACAGAGAGTAGTGGTGTGCATTGTCAAGTTGTTCACACCACCTGAAAATATTGATTCTGGAGACCCTAAGCACTTTTGCATTCCTTTGTACTGCGAGCCACGTCCTTGAAGAATGCGAACGAAGTACGTAGCTGCTTATGCTTGCAAGCCGCTTGCCCCGGAACTAAAAATGTAGTGCAAATGAGTTCTGCGCTATCTTTCTAGTTCACAGAACAACATGTTTAGAAATAGAAATTCACAACATTACAACTTTTCGGCAAGTAAGCAGCTGTTTTTCTGAAAAATCTGTATAAATTCTCTAGTGACTTATTGCTACAAGCAGGTTGTTGTGAATTGCCTTTCATCTCTAGTGTGGCTTGCTTTATTTTGGTATTTACCCACCACGGCTGCATTTCATTCGGTGCTTTGTCAGTGTTCAGTCTAGAGTAATTTTTTTAGTCGATAAGACAGTCGCACAGCCTTCAGTTCACGCATTACGTACATATTAGCTGCGTGAAGGTGTATTGCTGTGTTCTGTCACGTCCGCTGGATCGCCGTGGTTCGGTATTGCCAGTCCCGTTCGGGGAAAACATCCGGTGTTCCTTCTTACAAGTTCCCAAACAATACTAAGCTGTGCGGCAAGTGACAAAAGAATATTGGGAGAAACAACCTCATCATCAACGACAAGTCTGCATCGACAGTCGTATGCAGCAGATATTTGCGCGATGAAGACTCTGTGCCTGCGTTCCACAACAAAAAATATATTCCTGAATGTGCACACGCCTTCTCTTTTCGAGAACTATCTTTCCTACATGA